ACTCCCCTATTATCAAGTCCCCCCCACATACCCCATTACAGTCACTGTCCATCAACGTAGTAAGATGCTATAGAATCATTACTTGTCTTCTCTGTACATACTGCCTTTCCCGTGTCCTTCCTCCCTCCCCGGCTACATTATGTGTGCTAATCTAATGCCCCTTTTCCTCCCTTATCCCTCCCTTCCCACCAACCCTCCTCATCCCTTTTCCTTTGGTAACTGTTAGTCCATTCTTGGGTTCTGTGAATCTGCTGCTATTTTGTTCCTTCAGTTTTTTATTTGTTCTTATACTCCACAGATGAGTGAAATCATTTGATACTTGGAAGACCAGAATTTTAACATTTTGTAATTTCACACATATTTTTAAAGTTTAAAATAAAAACTCAGAACTTCAGCTAATATTATTTAAATAAGTTAAGGCTCACCTACAAATCATATTGAAAGTCTTGGTGCAGGTGATAGAAGGTAGAAGGGATGATCTTTTGTCTTTCCCTCAGTAATTACATTGTCTATATGTGCAATTATCAGCTTGGGACTAGAACCTGGAATTTGCCTATTTTTAAATGTATTTTTGAAACAGTGTGAAGAAGAGTTTTTAAAATACAAATATAGAGATAAGGGAACTGTAGCAAATCAAGGTGTTTCTCAGTAACTGTCATTTGTAAAGCAAGTATCTTAGGATTTCTAACTTTCTTTAAAGATCCTAGAATAGGCAGCAACTAGGGGCAAAAAAATTACAATCTGATTAACAGCTGCAAAGAATCTATGACATCAGAATTAGCCTCTGAGTCATCCTGTTAGAAATCATTCCAGCCTCTGGCCATTCCAAGAAAGTTCTCATAGCCCAATGGTTCCTCATAAAACTAGGGGCCTGTTTTATGTATTTACTCCTGTTCAAAACAGTTTTAAAATCTCTGGGACAGATATATCAAACTAATTATCAGATGCCAATTTTTAGAAACATTTGTAAGTACATATAGAAGGTGACAGGGAGTGTAGGTGGAAAGGGTGGGTAAATGGCACACTGAAAACTGGTTTTCACTTACCAATTACCTCATATTCAAGCTCAAATAAACCAAAATGGAGAGACATGGATAGCAACTAGAGCTACGGGTTCTGATGAAGTTGAAGCAAGTATTTTACTTCTTTTAAAAGCTTGCAGATGCCCGTGGGTATTCCAGATCTCGGTCATTTGTCAAAAATATACCATCTGTCCCTTAGTTTGTTTTGAGCATATTCTAAACTTATCCATCTAGTTTGTTAATCTTTACTCAAGATGCAAGTACAAAAACTTCAAGGTCTTCCGAGACTCAGTCTGAGCAACAGCATGAGCTTTGAGTCACCCACCTTCCAAAATAGGCACCCTCAATATGGGATCCAAAGCTACAGAGAAAAAAGGGCTGTAAGGAGAATCTTTTCTGTGGCCAGCATTAGGGTAGCTTTAATGAGTGAAGTTTGTCTTCCAATGCCCTGTGAGATGCTTTACAGCTATGCTAGCATACATAGAGTTCTTCCAATGCCTGTCATCCTCTCCAACTATAAAAAGGAAATGGTCACACCTTTTCCAAGGGGGATACAACTTTCCTGGTAGGGTGGATGCAAGGAGTCCTCTAGTGCTTCTTTGTCATCATAAAATCCTGAATTGGTGACAGATATTTTGTATAGGTTAAAAGAAAGTACTGGTGGGATTAATCTACCACGTGTAAGGTCAGTAGCTGTGTTAGAGGTGCAATCATTGATGTTCACAACCGCAGTTATATTTGGGAGAAAGGTAGTCATGGAAAATGCCAATACTGCCTCTGCCAGAATCAATGACTCCAATGTTTGCATTCTTAACCTGGATTGAAGAAAAAGAAGACAAACAAGGAGAGAGGGAGAAAAAAAAGCATGATTGTTAATGTTATTGGAGTCACAAAACCCTCAATAAAAAAAAAACCTTTTATGTATTTATCAGATAACTTGCTTATTTATTTATTTATACATCCATCCATTATTTCATTCAACAGTCACTTATATTTTCCAACTCATTAGTACTACTTTCTTTATTCACTCTCTCGTGACCCTAATGAATTCACTTAAAACCCTTTTCTCTGTACCATCCTCTCACCTTTGGATGACTTTGAACAAATTTAGCTGCCTCCTCAAAGTATCAAAATTTAAGCCCTTCATAGCCAAAAATGGCTTCATAGCCAAAGGATCTTCACAGCCAAAAAATGACAGAACCAGAGTAGCAAAACTTCAACGAGCTAGGAGACTCAATCAAGATTCATTTAATACTCTGTCACCAAACATATCAATCAAACCATGAAAAGGACCATCTCCTATGAACCAGGAAAGGAGATTAACCTTGGGTTACATTACAGAACATTTATAGGCTATCATACCCAGCTAACATTTTCTAAATAAAATTCTAATTGTAATATCCTTTTTTGTTTTAAAACATCTGCCTATTTGCTTTGGAAAGAAAACATCTGTTTTGGCTGAAACAGCTTTACTGTGTTGAAATAGACAGTTGGGGCTTTTTTGAAGCTGTAAATGTAAAAATCTTTTTATATTTTTCCCCATGAGAAAATCATTGGGAAATGGAAAAAAATGTGAAAATCAGCATCAAAGACACAGAAAGTGTCTTGAAGTATAAGTTCTGAGAAATCTGAGCAGTTTTGCAGTCTTTGAGGTATTGAAGTGTAGTATCTAATTTTTAAAAAATGTCCAACTTCAAGGAGCCCTTTGACTTCACGATGAGCTTAAGATACAGAGTCACCAAAATCCATAATTAAATAAGGTTTAAACAATTTTAAAGGTCTAATGAAGATGTAATACAAAGTGAACAGTATGTGTGGAAGGGTAGTAAAATGTCAAACTAAAATCCTTCTAACCTTGATCTGTTATTTCTCTTTCAACATTCCTATTGGAAATTCATTCACCATTCCAAGAGAAGAATTTCTCAGCCAATTGCTTCCCAGTATTTTTCAGACATATGCCTCTTATTCCAATTAAAAATCCCATATAAATCTATAAGAACTGAGTAGGAGGCAAAAATGTTAGGATAGACATCCCACTAAGAGATCTAAAATTCCAGTGCCAGAATTCATTTCTAAGTTTTCAAATCTAGAAACAAGTGAGGGCACATCTAGCTAGCACAGTGAATGTGGTGTTATACATCGTAAGGCAGTGATTTTACAAGATGGTTTTCTTAACATTCAGGATCTCTGCATATCTTGATCTGCTCTTTTTAATATTAGATAAATCTCAAGCGTTTCTGGATTCAAGATTAGTTCCAGAAAGCTGAAAGCAAACCATGAAAAAGATAGAACATACAGACCCTTAAATCATTATGGCAATAGAGTTTCCCAATCACAGGCTTCAAAATACTAATCTGATAACCACATTAAAACAATGAGAATTTGTTTCAGTTCAGTAATCTGGTCCCCAGTATGGAAATTCACTAGAATCTTATAGGCTATAAAAAAAAAAAAAAAAGTCCCAACTCCAGCTATGAAAATGTTTTAAAGCTCTCATTTAAAAGATTCTGAGTTACTCTTAAGCAACTTGAGGGTGAAAATAAGGGATAAGTCAGACTGGGTTTTTAAAAATAAAAAACTAATTATTTCATTGATTCATTCAGTCTGTGTCTATGGAGAAAGAGTTTGAAGCTCAAAAGTTTGACTGCACCCCGGTTTTAGCATCACCTAGATGTGTGATTTGGTTAGGACACTTTAGGCCTTAATTTCCTCATCTGCAAAATAAAGTTGTTCCTTGGGCTCTGAAATGAGCAACCACAGTTTTTTCATCATGATGAAAATCTCTAAGGGATTAGAGTACATCAGACTACAACAACAAAAAAAGGTCATCTTTATCCTAACATGAACAGTATAATAGAATTTCAGTCGCTTTTGGGCTTGAACAGATAGTAATTCAAGATAGATTTGTATTCACTATTCACATCATTTTTACAAGAAATGATAATGGAAAATATTAAATGAACACAAGGCTCTGAAAAGTAGAAACAGGCAAACAGCCACTGAATGCGAGAAACTTTGCAGCAGTTTCATGCTTAGTAAAGCAAATCTGCAAGATACATGATGGCAAGGAATAGCGTCTGTGGCACTAAGAGTTTGGAGGGTGGGCAGCTGGCAGAAGAGAGGTACTCAAGCATATTGGATGTAAATTCTAGCCACCCTTTAGGCGAATGAATGTCCCAACTGGTGTCTAGATCATAAAATAAAAAAATTGAGATGCTTGCTTGGTTTTCAGATGACAAATATGCTATCAAAGCACACCAGCTTTCGTTAAATCGATTCTCTAAATCCACTGCACGGCCGTCTGCGGTAAGGACCTCACACTTCTGGGAACAGCAGAAGACGCCCCGACAGAGGCCGGTTTGCAGCTGCGCTCGGGATGGTGAGCCAGCGCTGCACCTGGGCGGAGGCCAGCGCCTTGTGGTGGACCGTCCCCTCCACTTTGAGGGGGCTTTTCATCACGTCCCTTGGCATCTGGCTGAAGCACGGATCCTCCGAGCGGGCCAGCGGGAGGCTCCACAGGTGCCTCAAGGCTTCCACGCCCGTCAAGTGGTCGCCCAGAGGCCGGGCCCCGGCCAGGCCCACTCCCCGCAGCCGTCCGCTTCATAGTGGGCCAGCGAGTGGAAGAGGCGCCTGGGTAGAGCGCCGCAGGGTCACCCGCTCGCCGGGGCCTAATATGCCGGAGCTCTTCCGCCAGCCCAATCACGGGCGTGACAGTCAGGGTCGCGGCCTTTTGGGAGAAAAGGGACGAAGTGAACAACGCCCTCCCGAGCTGGAGGGTGGCCCCGGGGACTCCGACATTGGCCAGGGATGCCCGCCACATGGCGCCGGGATCTTCGCGGCTGTAGCGGCAGCGCGGCGCTGGGTGGACTGCACTCTCCGCTCCTGGAGGGCCTAGCAACGTAGGCTGGGAGGGGCGGGTAGGGCTGGCGCGAGCGGGCAGGCGGGGCGGGGCCGGAGGGGCGGGGCCTGGTTTGGCCACAGCGGAAGCCAGAGAACAAACAACCGCGGCGGGTCCCTGGGGTTCCCCTCAGCAAAGGGATGCAAGAACGGCAGATTTAGGAGGGCGCGGGATGGAAGTGCTTTTGGAGGTCCTGTGGTGGGGCTGTCTGAGAAAGGTAGGAGCTCATCCCGAGCCTAGCTCTCGACTTAAACGAGAATGTGAAGTTAGTGATTTCTGACAAAATCTAAGCCGGTCGCCTTCTCGAAAAATCCCTCATTGTCCACCAGGTGACACTGTTTCCTAAACCTGGTTGTAGGAGGCTGTGTACTAGGCTCCTGCCAAATTCCTTTTTGTCCTTGAAATTATTTTTGCCCAGGATTAAGACTGTCCAGATTAAAGTTTAAACGTTTCGGAAGAGGCAGCCCTACAGAAGAATATACACTGTGGATATAATCCCCACTGTCCTGTGGCCTGGGACAAGCATTAAAAATGTATATTTATATATGCAGAAAAAAACCCTTACATTATAGAGCTTTTTTTCTTTAAAGGAAAAGATGTGAACTCACAAAATAAAACCATATTTTTCTATTCATATAAATAGTTGTACATACATACATACATACAAAATCTTTCTAGGAAGACACAACTAAATTAGTAACAGTAATTATCCCTGGAAAAGACTGGGATTGGGTGATAATAGGACTTTTAAATTGTATGTTTTACTTGAATCTTTCACAGTGCAGAATGTAGAGATAATATACTTTAAAATTTGTAGTATAGAATTCTATTTTAATTAAAATGCAAGTGTGAAATGAGTGTAATTAATCCATGTGAAAACATTCCATTAATCAGGTTTATCCAGGAAAAAAAGGTGTATATGTAAATCTTGAATTTTTGTTGAAACAATCTCATTTTCAAATACCTTATGTCACTCTGTAAATAAGATAATAATTGTCATGTATCTTGATTTATGGACTGAAAATATTTGCCACTGAAAGTGTATAGTCCCTGGGATTAAAAATTTCTGGTTTAGAGCCATACCACAAACCTATCTTCTTTGAAAAGTACTTGTTAAAGTTCCTGTCTTTGGAGAACACATATATATATATATATTTTTAAGGATGACCCCCAGTTTTAGAAAAACTCAGATACTGCCCCCAAATCCATCATTATAGTGGCTGTGAATTTTGGATTTTGTGCATCTCTGCATGTGCATGAAAAAATAGAATGCCTTTCATGAGCTTTATCTTCCTAGTGTTCAAAGACTATTTAAAATGAATTTACTAATAGCTTAATCATACTTCAGAAGAATTAGAAAGTCTGTGCTTTTCAGTTGGAGAAATATGTAACAGGTTTATATATATATATTTTTTAAATGGTCAGTGATCAAAGAATATGTATTTGCTTTCAAAATGGTCTATTGGCCTTTCTTACCCTGATGGAAGTACATTCAAGGGTATTAGGTATACAAATGAAAGCAGAACAATGGGCTGAGTCCAGTTAAATTTTCTAATTTGTTTTTGTTGTTTTCTTTTTAAAAAGTGTCTCCAACTAAATTTCTTTTAGGCTTCAATTGCTTTGAGCCATTACAAGGAAAAATTACAGTCATTAAAATATGCGTGTGTGTGTATAATGATTCCTTATTTCTTATCGTTTTAAATCTGAGCTGTTCAGTTTGGTTTATGGAGGCTACTTTATGTGATCCTATTGTACCCTTAACTTTCCAGTTATCCTCATCATTCAGCTTTGCACTCTTTGAAAATATTTCCTCAGGCTGGAAGGCTGTAGAACCAAATAGTCAGTGATGACTATGGACTTCAGAGTTGGACTGACCCAGTTCTCGCATTGACCAGGTACATTCTTAACTTTCCTTGGTCTCAATTTCTTCATCTGAAATAAGAGCTAATATTTGAGAGTTAATATGTTAAGCGCTTTACTTGGATTATCTAATTTAATCACAACAGCCCACCCAATAAGGTAGTTTCTGTTGTAATCACTATTCATCATATCTACTTTATACATGAGCAAATGGAGGCTTAGAGAGGTTAAAAACTTACTCAGCATCACACAATGGAGCCTGGGATTTATATCTACTGTGGAGGCATCCTTGAGGATAATACCCTTTACATCACTTAAGGTTTCTTAGTATGACAATTTTTTGGAGAAATTGATTTCTAAGCTTTGCTTTTGTTTTATGAATGTTTTGTGTAACTGATTAGGTTTTCTTCTTTGCATGAAGCACTAGAAAACATGACTGAATGACTGGCCCAATCAAGGCAAGTATATAGGACTTTATAATAAGCACTACTGTATTAGCTTTACATTTTGCTTCCCAATATGGACACCTTTTCTCTTTCTCCCTTCTAATTCACATTTATCATATTTTAGGTAGCTTTTTAATAAACCTAAAATTCTTCTCGAAATCTTAGAGACTAGCTGGCCAACTATAGTCAACTCTGAGGGAAACCAAATCTTTAGTCTGTGTAGGGCATTTCTAGGCTACTTTGTCATGAGGAAGAAATTGAGGTGTAGGGCTGCTCCTAACACCCAGTCCTTGAGTACACGGCAGTGTTTAGTCATCATCCTCATGCTTAGCTTTTAGTGCTACCCTTTTTGGCCCTTACTCCTCTCACCCTCCCAGCCACATTCCTTATAACTTCTCCCTGTGATACCCCATCCCAAAGGCATCTATAGGATAGCAGGAGCACCTGGAAGTGAGTTAAAGCACAGGCTCCAATAATTCACATCGCAGAAGATTATACTACATAGTGAACAACTATAATTGACACATATTTTTAACAATTGGTCAAAATTCTTACTTCTAAGGAATGCTTCTTTTCATTAGTTAAGATCTAATGAGCATTTGTTTGTCTAGACCCAAACTGGTAAGATTTTGTATGGGCCCAGAAAACTATGTAATGTGTCTCAGAAAAATCTTCTTGCACTCAAGGAAGACCCTCTGCTCTGGCCTCTTGTGACTCCAGATAGTGCCCATTACATTGCAGTGGGTTGAGGCATACTGATCCCAGTCCTTCTTAGGAAGGTAGTAGGAATAGATGGTGCTGAGAGGAAGTCTTATTTGGCAGGTATAACATGATGTCCAAAGATTAAGGCAGTGGTCCATAGGATACAGTCCTAAAAATCTATTGGCATCGAGGCATTCCTGTAATTCACAAGTACCAAGATTGAGAATTCCAAAAGATGGTAAATACAGAGGAAGTATATGTCAACATACTGTTTTGCTTACATTAAATGGATTCAAATTTACTTTGTAAAGAATCCTTTATAAACTCAAAATTTATAAAAGATACTTTCCTGGTAAAGGAGATATTGTGATCTAGGGCCTTATTCAAAAATAAAAGCAAAGCTTAGAAAATTAAATATTATCAATGCCCCCAGTCTTCAGAGTGGGGTTCAGAGACAAGTCTTAAGTACATGGTCAGGAATGGGTACTGACAAGATGAAGCAGAGTCATTCCTTAAGAGACTCAAGGGGACAGATTCCTGAGACTCAGACATGGTCAGTTAGGGCCCAAAGGGAACATGGGAGTATTAGCAATACAGAAGCTGAGTCTTCAGAACCAGAACACAAGGCCAAATCTAGGCCAGCAATTGAGAGTTGGGAAGGCATTTCTTACATTTCTACTGCTTATGGTTAAGACTGATCCTACAGATAAGACCGGGGTTTAGCCTATATATTGAGTAAAGTTCAAGGGAGAAAGGGGTAGATTATGTAGTGAAGAAAGGGTTTCAAAGGATGAGAATCCAGTAGGACCTGACAAGGAAGCCAGGATGGTTGCTTTGTTAAAAAAAATTCCTAGGTGCTCTGGAAAACCCAATACATGTTGTATGAATAGGATTTTTATTAATAGTATCTGGTCTGTGGTTACAATATTATATTTTGCTGGGTTTAACAGACTTTTTACCATTGAGATGTTTATGGAAGAAAGTTTGAATTTGCTGCCAGGCATCTACCTGTGCCCTTGAGTGAGCCTTTGGCTCACCTCCATAGAATATTGCTTGACCCAATAATGCATGCACAGAGGCTCTGCAAGGAGGAAAATAAGGTGGATCAATACAATGACCAGTTCCTGGGTAGTAGATTATCTGGGGTCTGTCTTTCCCATGGGCTTTTAACCGTTCAGAGGCTATATGAGCATAGTCTTCACTCTTCCAGTTATGATCATCCATGCCAACAATAAATAGGAAGGGTCCCTGGGCCTTTTCCAGTGGAATAACACTTTGGTGGTGGGGTTCCTCCAGTGGATTGTTCCAAATATCCACGAAATTCAAAAGGCCTGAGTCAGTGATTGTATGTTTTCTTGAGTCATTGCCAAGATTAGGAATAATCATATCCTTGTAATGCAGAGGAGCTATTGTATTGGCCACACAGGCATTGATAAGTACAGTGGCTGTGATGCCCTTCAAGAAGGAGGCCATTGAAAGACATAGGTCACCTCCTTTGGAGAAGCCAAGAAGCCCCACACTAGGGCCTTTCACCTGAAGAAGAGAGAGAGAACAAGTCTAGAATTCATAAATGGTGATTTTACATTCTCTAGGTAGCTTTCTTAAATGTCACATGCTTTCCTTCCTTATACAATAATCCACAAAACTCAAGTGTTTCTTTTAATAAGCACATTAATTGATTTCCTTGTACAGAGGCCCTCTACTAATATTTATGGCAACTGGATGAAGAGTACACACAAGAATCCATATACCCTACAGCTAAATATTTAAGTTATAATCCAAACAAGAAATACTGTTGAATAAAATATATTCTTTTCTCCTCCCTCGATACATATACCTTCATAACAGTTTATAAGGCCAGGTTCAAATTTAAAATCTTAGGACTTCTTAAAGTTCTGTACTGGAATGTGGCATGGGGGAGAGCCAGCCCTTGGCCCCAGTCCTTGGTCCCTGACCCATCCTCTTTCTCTTCCCATCCCAGGCTCCCTCATGTACCTTGAGGGGCTTTTCACACATGTGTGTGGATACCCCAGCCTATATGTTTAAGGGCTAGATGTTTTCACATTGATGGACCCAAGAAGAGGCATAGAGCCTAGAAGAGGATCAGTGCTGTTTGGCAGAGAATTCTGGGGTTGCAGATCATAAGGGTGTGGTGGGGGAGAGGGGCACATGGGTTCCAGGTGGCACATTCCCTTGGTCCTTTAGCCTCGTTACTCTGTGAGCAGGGCTCAGCCAAAGGAATGTCAGAGTGTGGCCACCTAAAACAAAGGGTCCAGGGCAGAAGCCCCTCTTGCCTAGATCTAATGGCAGAAGAACTGATAGTTTATTCCTTTTCATGGGCCTTCTCTCCCCTAAAGAAAACAATTATACCAGTTCAACATCCACCAAGTTTTAGCAGCTCTGCTAAGAAATCAGTCCCTGAATTCTAACAGAGTTAGACCATCCTATAGACCTTGTAGAACATCTTATTCCTTAACATTAAAATTAATGTTAGAGAAGTTTGAAGCAAAGAACATTGGGGATGGGAAGGTTGGTGGAAGAAGGTATCTCTTTAAGTCTAGATAGCAGCAAAGAGTATGTATTCCATTTCCAAAATGTTTTAATTATATTTTTCCAATCTCAGATACGAATTTTATCTACACAACCATAATACCAGTATCACACTTAACAAAATTAATAATGATTCCTTAAATATCCTCAAATATACTGTCCCTATTCAAATATTACCAATTGTCTAAAAAATGTCTCTTTGTGGTCCTTTTCCTCTACACATTTATGTTAACTTATAAATGAGAAAAGTTGAAGCCCAGACAGGGCAACTGCCTTACTCAGGATTATAAGGTACTTAGTGGCAGAATCAGAAGTTAAGGCTAGTAACTTTTTGGTCCATCTCTTTAAATTATGGTCAAGAATTAAAGAAAATGAAATAGTTGAATCTTCAGGGGTTTGTGAGAGACAGGTGGAAATGAAAATAATCATCCTGATAACTCTGAAGGCAACTTTGTGTCTCATGTTATACTTCCAGCTCCAGTGTCCTGGGTAGGGCTTTTGGGTCCAGACCTTGTCTGTTCTACCTGCGTTCTTCTGTATTTAGGCAAGCAACCACAACTCACCTTTGGATGCTGCAGCATGAAGTCCACGGCTTCTTCAAAATACTCCAGGCACACATCATTCAAATACTCAGGGAGGTCTTCAAATCTGAAATAAGCCAGAGCAAGCACAGCAAAACCATGTCCAGCCAGGAGGCTTGCCCTGTATTCACAAAGGCCACCACCACTTCCAAACAGATCGATGATCCCAGGGAAGGGCCCTGCACCTGGAGAGTGTACCACATAGCATAAGGAACTTTAGACTCTCAAAAGACATTCTTGGGTTTCAGATTTTGGCAGTCAGCAAAGAGAAATTTTTGGTGCAAGGTGGGATGGGAGTGGGAGGGTTGGTGGTAGAAGGACTCTTTTTACTCTGCCTTTTTTAAAAAATAATCTTCAGGCAGAAAGGGGGTGGGACAAAATGCTTTTTCTTCAGACTTTTTCACATATTTTCAAAAAACTAAGATAATATAAATAAACCAAAGTAGAAATAACATATAATGAGATGTACATTTTCCACACACACAAAAGTCTACTTGAGAATGCTATGAGAAAGCACTCTACCTATGTAGGGGATTATTAGAATAAACATCCTGTGCTACAGTCTTAACACCATCCCTAAACATGCCATGTTCTCTTTGGCTCCTCCTCCCCTCTCCACCTTTTTTGACCTGATTGACTCACCAGTCTTCAAATCTATGTTTAGGTCTTCCTTCCTGGAAGCCTCCCCAGATCCCCCTCAATGCCCAGTTAAGTTGGATAGATACCCTTTTTTATGTACCCACCAGCACCCTGGGCTTGTACTTCTCCGTAGCACTTAAACCATACTTACAGGTACAAGTATACTTGCCTGGATCCTCTATTAGGTTGTAAGTACAGTGAGGGCCCTGTCTGACTTTGCTATCTACTGCATCCCAGTGTAGCATAGTCCTTGACTTAATACATATCTGTTATATGAATGAACTCTTACATTATTTACAAAAGCCTTTGAGATTGAAAACAGGAAATTTAAAATGTGCCCTACAGTAGACACTAACATAGCACACACAAGATTGACTTTACTGGAATAACTGGTATCATGATTGGGTGGCGAAAGGTTTTTTTTTTTAATGTTAAGTCTTTAGGAGATTTTTACTGAATCAGTCACTGAATGGTTGAGCTGCTGCTATTTCCCTGTGCAAGCCTCTAGGTATATAGAGATGCAAAGATGTGTAAAACCTACTTCCAGCCCCAGAAGTTCACAATTGAGTGGGCAGCAACTAGTTAATGTTGTGAATTGCTGGGGAGCCTTTAAGAATAAATCATGGCGTCTTGTTTTGGAGAATAAGCACAGAATTCAGTTTAGGGATTCTGAGAGCCGTAGCAACTCCAGCATTTCTATATAGTAGGGGTTTCAGTTAAGAACTTGGTTGGAAGGCACGGGTCAGGGGTCTTGTGTCCCAGTCACTTACTTACCAAGCATCTTTTTTTACTTAGACTAGGTTTTCTCACCTTCAGCACTCGAGACATTTTGAGTAAAATCTGTCGTTATATGGGGCTGTCCAGTGCATTATGGCTGTTTAGTGTCAATCTCTGACCTCTACCCACTAGATGCCAATAGCACAACCCCCTCAGTTATGACAACCAAAAATGTCTCCAGATATTGCTAAATATCCCGTGGAGTGGGCAAAACTCACCCCAGGTTGAAGACAGATTGTTTACCATAGAGGGGAGGAAATCATTAGGGAGTTTTTTGTTAGGATTATGGGGCATTGCCACTATCTGTTGGTTTTAGCCCCCTTGGAAGTTTGGTGTGAAAGGAGATAAAAATACTCTTGCAGGCAGACAGAAGTCATTACCTAACACAGGTATTTCAAATAGCCCAGTTGATAAGGAAAATATTCAACACAGCCGTCAAGGTCAGCAAACCGCTTTTTCCCTCCAATTGGCAAAGCACACCCAGCTCCCTCCTCCCCTCCTCCAGGCACCTCTTTTGCCCTGTGCACGCCAAAATGCCACATATCAAAATAATATAAATTGCTCCCCTTGCTTGTGCTCAGGGCTCAGACTTTTGGGAGATTACTCCTCTCTGAGCCCACCGGTGTGAAGCAAAGCCTCAACACTCCAAGACCTCCGAGTGCCGCTTAGTTCTTCCGTCAGTGATCCAGTCCAGGCTTTCCAGTATTTTCCGTAACACAGTGGCTGGTACATAGCAGCTCTCAGTAAATGTTTTCAGTTTGTTGAATACACTTTCTAGCTTATAGCTAAGGAAGTGACACGAAGTCCCATGAAACTGAACGAGGAAAACCCTGTCCCAGAATCCATGACAGATTCTGCAGCGCCGGTACGAGTTTAGGGAATTCACAATCACGTGGCTTCATGACCAGGAAGGGGCCGCCCAGGGTCTTGGGACTCCACCCTGCTCTCCAGAATAGCCTGGGACGTGAGGTGCTCACCTGGCGGCAGAAAGAGCGTAGCGCGTACCCGGCCCGCACGCACCGGCTCCCGCCGCACCCCAGGTCCCAGGAAGACGCGCTCGTGCACCGCCCTGCCTAGGAACCGCCAGGCCTCGGGCTCGTGGCCGTCCAGCACCTCCAGCTCTACGGCCAAGGGCATCTGCACGTCCCGCTTCACCAGCCGCAGCAGGGGTTTCTCGGGCTCCAGGGCCCAGAAGAGCCCCATAGGCTCGAGCCCCACGAAGCTACCGCCCAGAGCGGGCGCGCGCGTGAGGTCCAGCAGGCCTGCGGCGTCGGCGCGGTAGTGCGCGTGGGCCCGGAACAACGCGCCCTTCTCGTCGCGCAGGGACGCGCGCAGCGTGACCGGCTGCCCCGGGGCCAGGCCGCGCACGGCGATGCGCACGGGCTTGTCCCAGAGGCTGCGACCCGCGGGCTCCAGCGTCACCGTCGCCGCCATCCGGATCTGTGCGGGAATGGGGCGTTCGGGTCCACGGATCCGGACTGGCGTCTCTCCACCTCCTTGGGAGGCAGTCACAGTTGGCACCACTCCTATTGGGTGAACATGGGGACACTGCCGTCCGCTGGGTCAGGTCGGCTACAGTTTGTGCAAATCTTATAGTGCCTAATTAGTAGAAAGTATCTGCTAAAATAAGAGTTAATTACTAATCTTGCAATTGAGTCTGGTCGGGGTGATAACAGAAGTACAAAGACTCCTGAGAGCTAACGGACTGGGAAATACACTGCAGTTCCACGAGTTGGCATTTTAAAAAGCATCCTGTGTAATTCTGGTGATCAGTGGAGAAACAGCCCCGATCCCTCATTTACCCCTGCGTCCTTTACCAAACCTTTTTCCTAGAGGTAAGGGTACCTATTGTAGGACCCCAACCTCCCTGAGAAATAAGTTAGCCTAAGAGTAGCCATCTTGAAGCCCAAAAAGCCATTCTGATATATGACTCAGAGGGAACAACTGAAACCAGGTAACTCCTCTGGAAAAACAAGTTAATCAATCATGACTGCTGGCAGCGCTAACCTTTCGGTTAGTTAAACATAAAAGCTGACCCTACCTTGCTACACCCCCAGGACGTGGCACCAACTCAGAAATCGTAGGTTTGAAAAATTACTGCCTTTGTAGTATTGTTATCTTGCTATGTAGTATTGTTATCTTGTTACTACAACATAATCTGTAACCATGGTAAATCTCTAGGGCTAAATGCCTCAGAAAATCCTATATAACCACTTAGTTGTAAGTACTCAGGGTCCTCGTTGAGACCTGCTGCGACAGGCTGACTTGGACCCCAACTAGTTGGCTTCCGAATAAATTCCTCTTGCTTGTTGCATCAAGAAACGTCTTTGGTGAGTGATTTGGGGCGGCGCCTTCCTCAGGGGAATCCAACACTATATATATATGTTGTCCGGCAACTGTGTCTGGGGAGGTGTCTCCCTGCATACTAGGTGAAACCTCAACCCGGACAGGGGAGGATTCTTGACTCTCATGGAGAAATAATTCTTCACCAGGTCAAAGGAGTGTAGGTAAAGAATTCACTGAAGCAAGGGTAGGGGCGAACATCAGCAGGCATGTAGGCAGCTGACAGCAGACAGCAAGGAAGAACAGTGAGGAAAGGGAAGTGCATTGAAGTCCTGCTCAGCATAGGGCAAATTCCTTGTCAGCTCCTAAAGCCAGGGTAATCCAGTGTCTGCTTGAATCTGGACAATGTGGGAACTAAGACCCTAAACCCCCAGGATTTGGGGGAGCTGCAGAGCACTGGATGGAGTGAGTTTATGTTCTGAGAACTTTCACTTCACTACTGGTCTGTAATAAAACCCTAGAGAGAAGGATTTTATTAAGACTAGAAAACTGAATGAAATAACAAAGCAACAAAGACCCCCAGTAACTTTGTACCACCAGAGGTGAAGGTTGGAGAGTTCTTGTCTTTATCAAGGGGAAGAATTCAGAGACTAGTGAAATCAGCTTATGCAACAAGAAAGTTTATTTGATGTAAGACAGTACACACTCAGGAGTGCAGGCAACCTCAGAGGAGGCACAGCTTAAAGGTTTATTTAGCTTTTGGGGTTTTATAGGGACTTTTGGTTAGGGGTCAGCAGAAAGCATGATGTATGCAGGTGATTCATAATTCCTTTGAAGTTTTTCTTTAAGAATAGGGTTATTGAGGTGACTGTGGGTCCCTGTCTCTGCATTCTTTATTCACATAGGTTCATTTACACTTCAGAGGTCTGTCTCCTGTCCTGGTTACAAAGTTACTTAACTGGTTAAGGGGCTGGAAGAACAGGAAGAACAGCATGTAGATAAATTGACCGATAATCTGGGCCTTTTTCCAAGGCTAAATAGATTTACAGTGGAATGACCCTTGTCCCATTTCCCTGCTCTATCATATATACAGCTGCTATAATAACATCTTTGCCCTCATGAGAGAGTGGCTTCATACAAAATCCAATGCTTGTCTAGTGACGTGACAGAGTAGCTGTAGCTTGTATGTGACATGCCATCTCTAGTATTAAACAAAAATTAATTTCTGTTTTAGGGGTGGAGATTTCATAGATAGAAAAAGCCTTTGTCTGATCTAAGTTAGAATCTCTCTGGTTGCCTCACATAATTATACCTCCAGAAAGGTTTCTCTAGAGAGAGTCCCTGAGCTTCGTGCTTAATAGCCCAATGCCTTTCAGTTATAAATTCAATATGG